AGTGTAAATACGATCTCTCTCATTCTTATTATTTAACAATTTAACGCATTATTTCAAAAAAAAATTAATTTACTCATATTATCATTTGTATATAAATAAAAAATAAAAAGTTAAACTCAAATCCCTTGGGATTGAAAAACGAAATCATGCCAAGGGAGAATCAAATATAACTAAAGTGCTTGAGCTCTCACGTGCATTGGAGGACCTGGTGACCGCAAAAAGCCACCATTACGTACGGACATTTTGCTTCAACATAGCCGAGAGCGACTCACTCCCTCACTCACTCACTCTCTCTCACCCACTCACTCAGTTCGAAACGCATCTTTCGCCTCTCGCCCTTTTTCCCACAGATTCCTCAAAACTTCCAACTCTCAAGCGTCTCACTCTCCGACCCATCAATCTCTTCCAACTTAGGGTTCTTCTGGGATCACACAGGCTCAGCACTCATGGAATAAGCATGGATTTTTCTTGAGGTAATTTCATTGGGTCCTCTTCTGTAATTTCTTTCTTTTAGTTTATTGTTCTTCAATTCTAATTTTATGATAAGAAATTTGTTTAAAATTTAGATTTTTTCTTTCATTCTGCCCTAAAAGTTTTGCATTTTTCTTTTGGGTGCGGAATTTTTTTAGTGATAATAACAAAGCTTTGTTCTTTTTTTTGTTTTTTTTTTTTTCGTTTCTTTTTTCCCTTCATTAGGTTTGATGTTGGGAAAAATTAGTGGACTTGTTGGGAATTTGATGACAATGGAGAGGCCAAAGACCCCAGAAACCCTAGAAGCTCAAAACCCTAGTGGTAAAACCCTAGAAGGGGCATCTGGGTTGTTAGGGTGGAGTGAGAACTGTACTGGGTTGGAGTCTTTTCCCGGAATTTTGGGAGGTAGTGGAGAAGGAGTTGGTGTTACTGGTAATGACGTTGGACTTGGCTATGTGGAAGGGGTGACTCAAGCAGTGGAAGCCGAGAAGGGAGTTCTGGATGGTAATAACGGAGAGGATTTGGGATTGTTGGGTGTGGATGCAATTTCTGGTGTGTTTAATAGTTGCAAGAATGGTGTGGGGGTTGAGGAGGTTTGTTGGCTTAATGGTAAGGTTGGTGGGGGAAATGAGGCTCAGATGGGCTCTCAAAGGTTGCCATCAGATATGGGAGCTGACGTTCAGATGGATTTTGTGGAGCTACAGTTGGATGTGAACGGAAATTTGGGTGGTAATGAGAATGAAGAGGGTGGAGGTGATGTGGAAAACAATGCTCAAATGGGTTCCCAAAGGTCGCCATCAAATAAGGGAAATGACATTCAGATGGATTTTGCGGAGCCACAGTCAGATGTGAATGGGAACTTTGAGGACTTGGGTGGTAATGAGAATGAAGAGGGTGGAGTTGATGTGGAAAATGATGCTCAAATGGGTTCCCAACAGTCGCCATCAGATAAGGGAAATGATGTTCGAATGCTTTTTTTGAAGCCACCGTCAGATTGGAACAGGAACTTAGAGGACTTGGGTGGGACTGAGAATGAGGAGGATGGAGTTGAGAAGATAGCTGATGATGATGATGGTATGAATGAAGGCAAAGCGTTGGGATTGAATGGGATTGACTCATCAAGCAAGAAGATAGAAGTTTCCGATGATGGTATATCGCTGTTCGTGGATTTTAGTGGCCCTCCACCGGGATTTATTGACGATGATCTTCAGGTGGCAAGTTGTCCTGGATTTGCAAGTACAGAAACTGTAGACGAATTTGGAGATGATGGACAGGAGAAGGATATTGATTATCAAGAATATGATTTTTCTGCAGGCGATATTGTATGGATTAAAACCAAAACCCAGACATGGTGGCCTGGTAAAATTTATGATCCAGTTTATGCATCAAAGTTTGGTGCCGGTGGGGATCCAGGGGGCTGTCTACTAGTTGGATATTTTGGGATGAGTCATGTAGCATGGTGCCATACATACCAACTAAAACCTTTTCATGAGTACTTTGAGCAGATGTCGGGCCAAAGCAAGGCTAGAATATTCCTTGGAGCTGTTGAGAAGGCTCTTGAAGAGTTTGGTCAGCTTGTAAAATTGAATATGACTTGTATGTGTGTTTTGAAAGGAAATTGTCAGTCAACTGGTGAAGCAGAATCTAACAAAGGAATTCCCATGCCTGAGCGCAAATCTGGCAAACTTGGTGAATTTTCAATTGATCATTTTAATTCTGCAGAGTTTCTTGCGCATCTCAAAAATCTTGCACTGGTTGTTTCCATGAGTGGCATGCTTGATTTTGCTGTCAAACGAAATCAATTATCAGCCTTCTACCGCTCCATAGGGCACAGCCAACTGCCTATGCATCTACTCCGGGAAACAAATGATGCTGAAGACGGTGATTGCAAGTCAATGGCTAAACGAAATGTCAACATTCAGGTTGGATATGGAGATACTGAGCTAGATGAAGAGTGCTTGAAAAGCACACCGTTAAATAACTCTCAGAAGAATGAAGGAAAGGAAGTGTTAGACAAGGTTTTTGATGGAGACAATATTGCTGATGAGGGTTTCATCTCAGGTTCAAAATCGAGGAGGAGAAAGGTGAAGAGGGATTCTGACTTTGAATATGGCGATGTTGGAAATGAGGGAATGACTGCAAAAGGCATTGAATCAAGAGAACGGAAGAAGAGCAGGTACTTGTCTAAACCAAACATAAACTTGGGACTGAAGGGATTGCCTGCTGAAGTGGATGATGAGGGAGTGGCTACAAATGTTGATGCCGACCAGTCTGGTGGGCCGTGCTTTAATTTTAAATTTACTGGTGAGAAATTCTGGAGAAAGTGGTATGGAAGGCTTACAGGTGAAAGTAACATATCTGGTGACTCAAACTTAATAAATGCATCTTCTGCTGAGTTGCTTTCTGAAGTCTACTCTACAGCTGTCAATTGCCTATATCCAAATGAAAATAAGACATTTGATTCAGTTGCCTGGTTTGTGTCGAGATTCAGGATTTCAGTATTTCATGATGAATCTATTTGTGAAGTCTATCGTGACAATAAGGCTGGTCAGGAAGATGCTAAACCTTACCTGTTGGGATATAGCGGTCAAAATGAGGCAAAATCTGAACCAAAGAAAAGGAGGAGGAAGTCTAAGTTGAAGAGTCCAGATGGCAAAGATGCTGCCAGCATGCCAAACCTAGTTCAAAGCACTTCAACTGCTACAAAGAAAAGGGGACGACCAAATTTGGGAAGATTGAAGACTAAATCCCTTTCTGGACTGTCAGATGTGAATATTGGCATCGCCCTTGATAGCTTTATTGTGCAAGAGTCGTCGGATGTACACCCTCTCATGCCGTGTGCTAAGCAAAAGAATAGAAAGATCGATGATGTAGTGAGTCCTGTTTGTCTGCATATTAAACAAACTACTGGAATACCAGATTTAAATGGGAACAATCTTCTACCTAGCCTTCTCGTTGATGATCAACAGGCTATTGGCACTGCTGCTTCTGAAGGTAAAGTTGTGTTAGAAAATAGGTTAGGGAATGAAACGGCTTCAGAGCATTTGAAGTCTAATATCCCTGCTGGCTTTGTAGATGTGAATGTTAACATTGTGAAACCTGGTTCGTTGGTTGTAGATCTGCGTGTTTCTCCTCAAGCTTTGTCTCGCCTGGATCCCAAACAGATTACGGGCTTACTCTCAGCTGAAACTAGGCCTGCACAGAGAAGGAGAAAGAGAAAGGAGAAAGCAGAACCAAAGCCTCCGGCTGATGGTATTCCAGATTTGAATGGAAGCAGTGCTGAATGCAACTTATTTGGAAAGGCATGTCAAGAGCCTAATGGCCTTACGCCTCCAATTAAACCAGAGCGGAAGAGGAGGAGGAGGAGAAAAGGAGAAGCTACTGCTATGCAGTGGAAACTGGATGTGAATAATGGTAAAGCTCAGATTAATGATAAGGCTCTGGCAACTGCTCTTATGTTAAACTTTTCCCCAGGAGTATCAATGCCTTCAAAAGATGATTTAATTTCAACATTTTGTCGGTTCGGACCTTTGAAGGAATCAGAGACACAGTTGTTGAAAGATCCTGGTAGTGCCCAGGTTGTATTCATGGAAAATGCTGATGCTGGAGAAGCACTTCGGAGTCTAGAGAAGGACAACCCCTTCTGTGGAAACCTCGTTAGTTACAAGCTCTTCCATCTTCCATCTGTGTCCAGGGTTTTAGAACCAGGTTGGTCTCTCCCAACAGGTCTAGCCTCTCCAAGTTTGCCTGAAAAGGCCCCTTGCCTTGACTTCATAAGGCAGAATCTTCAGATGATGACATCGATGTTGGAGAAGTCGGGTGACAATCTTTCTCCGGAGATGCGAGCAAAACTGGAGTGTGAAATCAAAGCCCTCCTGGAGAAGGTGAGCTCCATGACCGGTTCTTCCTCCTCTTCTTAATTGGAAACGAAGGTTATGGAAGTCCTATATGGGTTGTCTGTAATGTAGCAACTCCTTCGGGCTGGCTTTGTAGCTGATATAATGTTACAATTGGAGACCTATGTAATTTATTGCATGTAAGGCACAGGCAAATGACCCTATTGCATTCGAACCTCTATCTCTAGTAATTTCGTTTTTCGTTATCTCTCTCTCTCTCTCTCTCTCTCTCTCTCTCTCTCTCTCTCTCTCTCTCGCAATAGGCAAATGACCTATTGCCAAAGTGAATGAAGCTGAATTTGAACAATGACGAGGTTATCTCGCAGATGTTGGACCGTTTGGTTTTCCTGTCTAGACTGGTTTGTTTGCGGTTTTCAACGAAACAGATCGGACCATTAGGTTTTTCTGTTTAAACTGTTATCGTTCAGTTTTCAGCCTAGTCGGAGTTTTGGTTTTCCATGGTGGTGGCAATGGACTGCCTTCAACGCCAGACGGCAAATTGGTCAAGCAGTGTTTCAATCTTCAAGACCGCTGGAAATTTTATTTCAAACCAAGCTTTTGCAGAACATTAATGCTTCATATCAATTTGGTAAAATGGCTAATGCCTGTAATCCATTCACAACACAAAACTCATATTCGAAAACTGCAAAAACTTTCCGGAGATCAAGAAACCCGATTGAACAGAAACAACGATGCAAATCGTTTCAGGAACACAATGTAACCAACAAGGTAAAAGAACTTCAAATACTACTCCATAACAGCAACTCCTCCAGCAGCCTTTATTTTCTCAATTATGTCATTTGCTTCCTCTTTGGTAACCCCTTGTTTAAGCACACAAGGTACCTTCTCGACGAGATCTTTTGCCTCCTTCAATCCCAGACTGGTAAAAGTCCTGACTTCCTTGATCACCTTGATTTTTGCAGCAGCATCGAACTTCTCCAATTTCACATCAAAAGCTGTCTTCTCCACCTTCTTTTCCTCAGCCTTTGACCCAGCAGCTGCCCCTCCCTGTGAACCCAGGTCCATGCCTTCTGTTGATATGGGCTGCAGCTTCGGATGCCTTAGCCTTTCAGCAAGAGTAGGACCAAGTTGGCGGCGTTCTTCAGGGGCCAGTGCTGCAATTCGCTCAGCAAGCTGAACGATTTTATCTGAAGGTGGAGGTCTTGGGCCATACGGATCATAGAATGCAGGATATTTGTACTTTTTTGGCTTGGCACTGGGATCCCGGGGCACAAAATCAGGTTGGAAGCAACGAAACTGCAAAGGACCAGTTGTTTCAGGGAGAGTAGGACGCGCACGAAAAGATCTAGCAAGCGCAGTGAGCCTCATGGTTCTTTTTGGATCAGTGGAAAAATTGCCTCATAGAATGAAAGATAGCTGATAAGGCTGTTATCTGCATTAACCAAGTTGCACCATTGGGTTTGTATAGAACAATCTGACCGAATGGAAAATGTCAAGAACTCGCTTGTCTGGAGGGAAAAACAGAGAAGAAACTTCAATTAGCAAAGGGAAGAGCACTCCTTTTAACTGTACGTTTTACGAATGCAACATCAGCCTTACAGATTGGTTAAGTCTACAACTTTAGACTCGTTCTATATGTCAAATATGACAACAACAACAACAAAAAATACCAATAAGAACAGAGTAAAATTAATAGAGGAATTCAAGGGGGCATTTCCACAAACATGTGGCGTGCAAGGACAATGGCTAGTAGAAACAGACAATTCCCCAGAAAATAATACTCAAAAGCTATTAAATTTTCCGAACTGACACAATATTAAGCAATCCCATTAGCTTAAAAATCTCAGGATAATCCTTTCGATTCCCTTTTTACTACAAGATCGTAAATGTGGTTCTGGGTTTCTCACAAAACTCAAAAACCTCCATGGAAGAAAACAAAACCATCTGAATTCGTATGAAAGATTTAAGAGAAACCCATAAGGAAGAAACTCACCGTAGTTTTATAAGCGCGAGCCAAAACAGCCGCCAACTCCAGGAGAGCCAATTGATGCAGAGAGAGCAAACAGACGTCGGAGATGACTCTGGAGTGTGGAGGCGTATATATGGTCCGGGTCGGTTGCTATTGACCCAACTAAAATGATCTCTTTGCCTAATTTGCCCAAAGTTTCTGGGCTGGTGGACACAATAATCTACTCTAGGCCCAATAATATGTCCCAACCCAATTAAGAAAATCTTACCCTTTTCAGAACAACTTACATAAAATGGGTTCACAATCACGTAGTGCTCCGATTGAATAATGCATTGCCATGTAGAGAAAAAATTGCACATAGCAATGCATTGTTGAGCAAAGAACTACGCTACATGATGGTAAATCTGTTCTATGTAAGTCTTTCTCCTATTTTCTAGCACCAACAATGGGTTACAATTAAGGAAACTTTAATGAAAAGCTCTCAGTACTGTTCACTTTAAAGAAAAACCACTTGCTTACACTTAAAAGTCAATTATGGTACTATTCACTTTACCCTTTATTTTGTCCTTATCGTTAAAACTCAAAGTTTTCAAGCTCTTTTCATTAGTTTTCCTTACAATTAATGGAGTCACATGGCACAAAATAACTCAAAAACTCAAAGATTATGGGTTTGCTTAGAATTGCTTTTAAAATGATTGACAGCGTTTTTGATGAGAGTGTTTTTTGATCCATTCCTTAGCAAAAATACAAGTGAATCCCGGAAAAACACTTGAAGTGTTTTTGGAACTCAACAACACTTACCAAAAGCACTTTCAATCATTTTAAAAACACTTTCAAACAAGTCCTATATATTACATTTTGCTCTCATTGAAAACTCTGGTTTGCTCTCATTTTATTTCTCAACCATTCCCAACCAGAAAGGCAGTTTACAACACTTTATGATTATAACTTGATCACACTCCGATCTCCATCGACCATGCAGACAAACGGCACATTAAAAAGAGATAATTAAGAATACTGATTAAGTACTAAATAACACATAATATATTTAATTAAATCTTATAGACCAAAAAGAGCCACGACTATATCTTCCTCGGTATTACAACAAAATCCTAAACCTTTGAATTCTTTTGCACTTGCAGCCAATGAGTACAACAAATTCGAAGAAAGACTAAAAGACCAAAAAGAAAGAAACAAAAAGAAAAATAATAGTACAACAAAACCAATAGCCAAAGGCAGTACTCATTTTTGGACTCTCCTTGCTCCCATTCACACACACCTTGTTGAGTCAATAAAGATGAAAGCAATTCCACCTTCGTACATAACACCCCCATCCCCCCCCAAAAAACAGAAAGAATTTAAACCGCTTTCCTCGCAAATGACATACAATATCTAAGAATCGACAACATGGTCATTTGGCACCTATATGTATGTGATGTCGACCCATCACATACATGCACATACTTAGAGAACTGGCAATGCATGCAGTAGTAGTGGTAGTAGTTGAATAACCTACTGATCTAAATGCAGATGATTAAAATTAACTGAAGTCACTAATCGCACCTAATTAGTTTAATTAAACTAAAGGGTTGGTTGTGGAGGGACCATAATTGTTCATGACATTGGTCCATGATCCTAGACCATTGAGGTACCCAAATGACTCCTTTCCATGGTCAGAGCAGCCTTGGTCTTGCCACTCAAGTGACAAGAGCTTTGTGTTTGGCTTCACATCCATTGCATTAATCTGATGATGATCCTCATGATTTGCTTCATCATATGGCAACATTAGCCTCTGGCAACTGTCCATGAAATTACCATTCTGCCCATCAAGTGATGACATCCCAAATGGAGATGAGCACAGGCCATGGTGATGAAAGCTTGACTGATGATCTAATCCATGACTAACTCCACCCATATTATTTCCAAACCCACCCATCATACCCAAATCAGAACCATTCCCCATGAAATCATAGTTCCTGGCATTCCCCACGATAGCCTCCAACTTGCTCTCCATGAAATCAATAGGCCTAGGGTTACTGTTGTCCATGAAGCTACTAGGGTTCATAGTACTCCCAAGCATCAAGTTATTGAGGTGTGAATACTGCATCTGATCAGGAAATGAAAGGTGGAGATCAGTTGGGGTGTGAGATATCGATGACGAGGAGGATCCGGGGTGGTAGTTTTGGTTCATCAGCGATGAAGGGTTCTGATCATTGGGTTTCTTGGAAGAAACTTTCTTGTTCTTTCTACACCCGCCGCCCACGGGGATGTTTCTGAGGGTTCCACCTTTGGTCCAGTACCTTCTGCAGGTCTTGCAAAAGTACCTAGGTTGGGAGAGGCTGTAGTTGTTGTAGTAGCAAAACTTGGTGTGGGTGGACTCGCACCTAGGGCACTTGAGGGCTTGGTCGTGCTGGGGCCTCAGCCTCCGCTCTATCAACGGCCTCGAGCACGTTAACATGTCGCCGGATAACGGTGAGGATGAGTCCATCGGGGAGTCCTCGTGAATCGTTCCCTTCAGACATGGAAAGGAATTTGGAGATTGCGTCAGAAAATAATACTTTTACCCCACCACTTTATAATTTTAGGGCGACACACATTCTTTTCCCTTCCACTGCATATCAATCAATCCAATATAAAGCTAGCTAAAAAGTACTACTACTGACTCCAGTGAAAATAGCTTAAGAAAATTGGAAACTCGAGGGGAAAAAAGGAAATGGGAAATTTGAAGCTACTCAACTTCCATCAAATTATTGTTCACGTTATGCTCAAATTTATGAATTAATAAATAAATGATGGGAAACTTTACATTACTAATGACGGGTTTTGAACTCCGAATCTCTATCTACTCTTATTAATAATAGCATTTTCAGCAGTACAAAGCGCGCTGTCTATAAGATACTTTGGTCTTCTAAATCCTAGGAAAAATGTATATTAGTTATTCCCCTGCGCTTTCAATATATTACATTTTCAGGTGCGAACTCATGATGAACTGAGGATGGAGCTAGTGGTCACATAATATAAATTAAACTAAATTAAATGTCCGCTATGAAATCAAAAACAAAAATAAAACAGAAATGAACACAATGGTGATGATGAAGAAGCACTACAACGTACCTGTAGCCAGTCAGATGAATCCATGCAAACTTGCAGAGAGTTGTGACCCATCAAACAAAACTAACCAAACTCAGATCAGAGAGCGAGAGAGAGAGAGAGAGAGAGAGAGAGAGAGTCAAAACAGAGGCAACAATTTTAACCAAAGCTTTTCCTTCATACACACTTCATTTCATTAGCTGTCTCTCAGTAACACTAAGAGAGAGAGAGAGAGAGAGAGAGAGAGAGAGAGAGAGAACAAGTATGTTAATGAAGGAGAAAGGGCTACAGATAGAAAAGGATAGAAGTAGCTAAGTGAAGAGCGAGGAGGGTTCTTATTGTGTGGGAGGGGTTGGTGTGGGAACTATATAAGGCGATCCAGTGTGTGTGTTTGAGTAAGCTGCTGAGCTTGCTAACCCTACACTCTCTTTCACTCGGCAAGGATATGTAAACTCCGTCGGTGGCAACAGCAATGGGGCCCTACTATGTCTGCACCCAGCCCAACATTGGCCCTACACCTTACCTCACCTTGACTGAAACCCCTACTTCACAACCAACGGCCCTGATGCCGTCATGGGTTTTGGGATTAGACAGCTAAGACCGTTGATGTGATCGTCTCACACGTCAGATATCACTCTGTAGTCTTCACACTTGAACGATCGTCAGTTTATGTTACATGAAAGAAGATGAGAGACTCAGAATATTTGGGTCCTCGATAAAGGAGGATCCCGAAAGAGCACTCCACTTAGGGGCCCAAACGTGTGGGTCCTATTCGCCCTCCTTCTACAAGCAAAGGATATATTCTCCCCTCCCACCCCCTAGTCACGTGCCACATTATAGTATGTACGTATGTCCGTCGTTTTCTTAGGCTTCTATCGAGTTCATAATCAACTCCATAGTAAACTATTAATTTGAAAGTGTGTGATATCAGTTGTTCAATATATCGAGCTTACACTTACATCCTTTTTTGTATGTGTAGACATCATAAATGTGAAAACACAAACATAGTCTCACTATATACTATATACCCCTAGAAACTTTAAAAAAATATGCAATGTCCCTTACTTTTCAATGTAGAATTCACACTCTTAACACGCTCTGTCACACGTAGCGACATTTAAGCGTCTTTTAATGTCTTGATGTAGATGATTCACACACATCCTACTTTGATGCCATAAAGGGCGTTGTGGTTCCGCTTCCGCCATAAACTTAGTTGATGATAGAAAAAGAAGTCATACTACTTACAAGCACAATGTATATCGTAGTTCTTTAACATGAGATTCACAAACTCTATAGTTAGACAACCACTAACCCTTGCCAACAATGCATAACGATCAATTACAACATAATGTATGTGTGTATATTATATTGACTATAATTTTTATGGATTGTGCTAGAGAAACCATCTACTTGAACCATATTTTATGAATCACATAATATGACAGCTGATGGTTAGACTTTTTTTTAAATCAGTAGAAAAAGAATTCAACTATTAAAGGTTCTTGTATGGACTATAAAGTATGGTCTAAGAACATAATCTCTCTAACATTTTTCTATTTTTATAACCCAACTCAAATCAAATAACACTTGGCGCGCTGTTGTGAATTAGAACGAACCAGGGACATTTGATTGAGCTAGCTCTTATTAGTCTAACATATATTTGTGACATGCATGCATGCATGCCATGACTAACTGGATGACGCTCGATCTTGATAACCTTGATGGTTCGATGGCGTGAGGAAGACACTCAAAATCTATGGGGCCCAAAAGTTCATTTGTCAGATGAGTGAATAAAGTGGTTTGTGTGCCCACGTTAAATTCACCGTACAGTAACTGTTCTATATTCCCATATACAGTTCAGAGACAGTGATTCTATCTGATCTCTGTTTTCTTAATCATTTCATGTTCTTTTCTCAGCTGCTGCATATATTTTTAGAAAAATTAATGAAAATAGTTTGGACAATTTAAGTTTTAACAATAAGGATAAAATAAAGGGTAAAGTGAATAATACCAGGGATTGACTTTTTAGTGTAAAAATGTGGTTTTTCGTTAAAGTAAACAGTACCAGGAGTTTGTCATTAAAGTTCCCTATATTTTTTTATCAGTTCAATGACGACTATAACTGTCCAAATATCCTTATGGTGGAATCTGATCACACCATCTCATTCGATTGAGATTCACTCTAGATTTCTATGTTTGGAGCTCACATGTTGAGAAATTCAAACTATTTAATTTTAATCTTAGGGTTCCTATTAGTATATCATACAAATCTACCTTACAAAAATCCGAAAACTTGAACGACTTGAATCTCTCTCTTCTTGAATGATACAGATCTTTCGATCTGTGGGCTCCTGATAAAGAAATCCGGAGTAGATTTCATTCCATCCCGATCAACTTCATTTTATCATTTGCTTTGTTTCTTTTTAATTATTTGTTAGCTGGTGTGTTGAACCAATTAAAGAACTTTCATAATCACTTTGTGATGAGCTTGCATGCGGGTTTTGAAAGTAAGCAATCATTTTGAGGGACGAAGGGCCACGTTGCTTTTTCAACTATATACACTGTATATTGAGTTCTATTAATTAGGGTTTCGATTAATCTTATGTGTATGTACTCTAAAACCTATGATATTTATCAAATTGTTAGTTTTGATCTCTTTTGATTTAACTTTGTTGATTCAATAAAATGCATGGGAATAATATAGCTATACATGTTGTGTGTTTTAACATTATAGATCTACATTATAAGCACTAATAATAATAATATTGCCAAAACAAGGTCAAATTTCATGCAAGGGGAGTTGAGCAGTAGATGCATATTGGTTTGAATACATGTCTAGTCTTTTTTATAATGTATTACATACCCTTAACCCTATATTTCGCAGCTATCTATCGCGTTCCGCTTATATGTCAGTAATTGTGAGAGAAAGACGTATTGCATTTCGTCTGAAGGTCTTCTTAACTATACAAATTTGAGAAGAATTTTGAGATCATTTGTGTCTCACACTGCTAGGATGAAATGTCAAAGTATACGTTATAAGGTATATATAGATATATAGTTAAGCATATAGAGTAGGGTCACTCTTTTTCAAGGGAGGATTGAACAATACTAAAGAGCATGTAAATTTAAAATACACACACACACACACACACACACACACACACATATATATATAATTATCAACTTTATCCGCATTCCGGTTGCAGATTCGGCATGCTCTCATTCATGAAACACGTTTTAGGGCGATTTAAGATCGGCCATTGCTACAAAACACACCAGTACTAACTAGGATACTAATCTTTTTCTTCAGCATGGCACATGCTGTGCACTGCGGGGGCATGCATGCTTTGTATATTCGATAAATAAAGGATCCTCCTCCTATACAGACACAGATCACTTTCAAAGCATGTCCCGTAATTCATTAACTTAATATTAACAGTAGTTCGATGAGGAAATCTTGAGCTTCAAGCTTCTGAACACCTGTCCCCGTAATCTTCTCTCTTTATGCACATTTTGCTTTGCGTTCGATCCTTTTTCTATATCTTCTCCTCTCACTCAAATGAAAGTTCTGGAAAGGACCGTTCTTAACGCTACAAAGTTTATTCTTAGATTCTTAACATCATTGTCGATCATTTCTTTAATTTTTCAAATCAAACGGAAGAGAATGTCAATGTTACATGTTGTTGGCAGGGCCAGCCCTGAGGGTAGCCCAAGTAGGGGCCCGTCTAGGGCTCCCACTTCGGAAGGGCCCCCAAAAAAATTTTATATCTGTAATTAACATATAAATATTAAAAAAAGTAAGAAATATCATAATTCATTTGCTAGTGCAGTGGAAACGTTGAGTTTGAAACATGAAGCTACCTTTTAGTCACTAGATTTTTCTTAATTTTTCTTGTTTTTCAAATTTAATGTCAATCCATCTATCCAAATGCATATAAAGTTATAAAACTCAAGTCTTTTGCAATCTTTTTTCTTTCAACTTCTCATTCTCTCCATTTCTATCGAATGTTTAAACCAACTTCCCATTCTCTCCATTGGTATTGTATGTTTAAACCAACTGTCATATGGTCTTAAATATTGTACTTTAAGGTAATCAAAACTTTGAATTATATATTTTTCTTTTCAATAACTTTTTATTCAATGGATTATTTTAATATTCAATTCGTTAATGTGATGTTGATTTTAGAAGAAAAAAAAAACACAAGATAAACAATTGGCGTTGAATTTATTATACTCGTCAATCAAGTTTTATTGTTTTTCACTCTCAATCTTAAACAATTGACTGCAAACATTTGGTACATTTGTGTCTAAAAACGTGAATCGTGTAATGTTTAAATAATGTTTTTATATTTATCTTCTATTGATATTAATTTTTAATGATATTTGATGTGAAAAATAGAACTTTTTATGTATTTAGCGAATTCTTTTTTATACAAATCAATATACAAAGAACCGGAGATCAGAGAATTTTAGGATCCCACTTCGAAAACTCGCCTAGAATCCCAAAATTCTCAGGACCGGCCCTGGTTGTTGGCAGGGTTGAAATTTGAGGTGCTCCAAAATTGCATTACAGAATATTTTTTCAAATTTCAAATTCCAGAGTAATATGGCCAGTAGAAAACATATTATATATGTATGAAATGGTGTCTAAAGCATTCCTAGCTAGCTAGCTAGGGTTTGAATATTAGGTTATTGTGATGTGGTGGTCGACCTATTCATCAGGGTGGTCAAACAAACTAAAACCTCGTTATGGGCGCAGCCAATCAGGTTCTTTGAGGCCAAGCAATGGACCCTACCGTGAGATATCTGTCGATCCCTATGCCTTCTGCTAGCAAGGTTAGGGCAATGTATGATAATGATGTGCAGATACTCGAGCAAAAACCAACCCCAACTTGATCTTGGGACCATATAATTGGCTAGAAAAGTCTCTTGATGCCACTCTTGGTTATCTTGGGTTTTAGTAATGGTGCTAAATTTAGGGGATGTTTGCAAAAATCCCAAGTATAGGTGAGATCAGCAATGTGATTATCAAAAGATAAACGTGTAATTACATATTTAATATTGTGATACAGTCTGACTAGAAAAAATTGTGATATAAACGTATTTTATATGAAATTTTATGAGGTATTATAAATTTAGAATTTGAGGATAAACGTCTCAAACTAAACAAGAGATAATGTTTTATGCAACGAAAGAGAGGGACAAACGCATGGTTGTGTATGTGCAACTTATGTATAGAAGAAAGCTCCGCATAGCCGACTCATCCAACCTGGAACGATTTAGGGTTTAGGGAGTTGCACAATATATTTTTCCATTTGTGCTTGTTATGGGAGTTGCTTCATTCTTGTCATGTTGTTGGTTTTGTAGTGAGTTAAACTTGGAGGTTGAGAAAGGTAAGATAAATTAACAAATACATAGTA